CGACGTCTTCTGATCAATCGGAGCGGAAGTACAATTCGTTTCGCTTTTAAGATCACTCGCTTCGGACTTCAAGTTTATCACCGAGACATCGCGGTCGACTTTCCAAATTCCGTTTCGAGCAACGAGGCTCATGAAAAACTCTCGAGTGCCGGCGAGCGGAAAATCAGAGTAGGAATCCACGGTGAGCGCAAAGACCGCGACGCAAATCAATGGATTCATTCACAATGGGGAGAAGGATTGCGAGAGCATCCTCGGGGCTTCGATTCGCTTAGTTTCAATGCTCTGCCGTCCCCACCGAATTCCCCTCCGGATTCCGTGCCCCTCCGGATATCCCTCGGGAATAGCGGTCTCGGCGCTGACATTGTTGACATCAGCACCGAAGCGGCGGAACATGATACTCACAGACGTAATCTGATTCCCGAACTCGTTTAAATGCCGGAATGGCAAACGAAGTTGGAATCCTCGTATTTACGTCATCGGAGAGAAGCAGCGAGTGAGCTCCGCAGGAAGCGAATCAGATCTCGATCAGGATTTGCAGGGCTTCCAGTGGACGAATCTCGAGCAGACTTGATCGTCGAGTTCCGACTCCGAGCTTCCTCTGCCACTCTCTCAAGCGTCCTCGTCGAGTACGCTCGTTTCATCGAACCGTGTAATAATAATTGGGATTCCGTCATGAGTCAATCGAGAGCTTCCGAATCGATGTTTCATCTCAGATACACAGACCGAGGCGAAAGTAAATCTCAGCGCATAGAAGACAAACCGAAATCGAGAGGAAAGAGGAGCAATCTAGAGTCGTTCAATGTTCTCCGTCTTGAGCATGTTGTATAGCTGCTGATTCAAAATAGATTCTCACATTTTACGACGAGGCACTTTCGCTCTTTCACTTGACAGCTGCAAACACGGGGTACCCAGCAAGTGACTTTTAAAGGCCTTCTTGTCCCCTTCGATTTTTTATTTTCGTCTCTTGACTTCTCCGTGTGGTCGAAGAATATTCGTAGTTAGCGAATCGACGATTGAGCTCACGTCGATCGAGGAATCCACGACCGAGTTCCCTCGGTACAACGGATAGAAACGATTCCGGACTAGGTAATTCGATCCCTCCCACCGTCGCTTCGGCTGGAGCTTGGCCGACCCATCGCTACATTGACATCACAATCATCAGACAGGAATGTGGAAACCGGTAATCGGACCCGCTCACGCGTCGGTCGCATGGAGTGCAAGAGCTTCTCGATCAGGCAAGTTCTATTTTCATCGAGAGCTCATGCGAGACTTCATTCCATGAAGAGGAACTCACGGCGGTCACCGCGAGCAGGGGGACGAGGAGCGATCTCTCTCGAGCTCGCGAGACAGTCACAAAAATCGTCCACTTGTTAAACGGTACAAAGCTGCCGCGACATACCACTTTTGCTCGATTGCTCTCTCCCATCGTACATCTAGTTAGAGAAATTCCCACGCCCCTGTTTCAATGCCGACTCGGTATCACGAAGCTCGCCCAAAAACTTCAGCCGGTCCCGAAAGGGTGGGCCAGGCAATAGAAAACACCACGACGCACCAGATGGGCCATAATTATTTAATCTCGCTCTCAAGCAAACACTTGTACGCTATTCTGCATACTCTTCGTCAACACCAGTCCTTAAGCCGATTCCGATTCGACGACGTCCGGATCGCCGCCACAGGGGTGTGGAGTCGGCGCCTGGAGCACGAGAAACCCTCGATTGTGAGAAAGTTCAAGATCCGATTAATTCAGAGGATAAACGATTGGCAAAGGTCAGTGGCATGTTTGCTAGTCACACGTCGGCACCGCTCCGCGTTGCGATTGCCGTGCTGGAAGATAGTGGGGGCTTCTACTGATATGATTGATCGATCGACGACGTTCGATTTCGTTGAATATTCGAGAGGCACTGCAGGTATCGATGCCTCCTCCGCTCTCGGCCAGGCATTCGGCAATAATTCCAAAGCATCGCGTCTCCTTCTAGAGGTATCCGCCGGAGTATATGAGCTCCTTCTGTTCTCGACAATCGTGAATTAGTCGACTCAAGCGACAGCCGACCTAATTTCCGCTACAAACGGAACTAATTGCGCGAACTTCTCGCTCTGTTCTGCGAGACCTCGTCGAGGAGATTCGGAAGTTTGACGATAAGGTTGGTAGAACTTCTCGAGGACCGAGATTAAAATCTCACCGATTTTTCTAGCGAGCTGTTTCCCGCCAGACGCGAGGGTTCAGCAGCACAGAAGTAATCGGAAACCCACTACAGATCTCAAGCACCACTCTAATCGGATCAATTCCAGACAGAAAAAAGTGAATGGGACATCTCCCACGCTATTCGGGGCGCGCTCAGATAACGTCCCTCGATTCCGCGTCTGGCATCGAGACGTGCCGCGAAATTCTCAAATACGGAGCGCAGATCTCCAATGGCTTCCCCCGCCAAAGATCAGGTTCCCGGATCACTTGACGTCCGCAGGACGTATTTTCTCGCCATTCTCGATCGATCCGAGGGAACTGCAGGTCGGATTGAAGGACTCGCAGGCCGATTGAAAATGCGCCGAATTCCGTTAAATATTCCGATTGTTCACGGTGATGTGAAAGCAGAGAGCTCCTCCGGGCTGCATCGCGGTTGCACCCGCACTCCGCCCGCAAATCCGTGCCGGGGAGCTTTTCTCCGCATCTCGCCTACTGGGGGTCCTCACGAAACATCTTTCTTCGGAACAGCTCGACCCGATCAACTTCTGAAACCCCACCGAAATCAGGAAGGATGCATTTGTCGTTGTCCCGATGGATCGTTACAACAACAACCACCGGGTCCGCTCGCTGACCGGGCAGGCTGTGTCTGCCTGTCGGACGGATTCGCTGCTGGTTGGTCGGCTCGCTCGGCGACTCGCTCGTCCATTTGGTTCGGTGACTGGCATGGATTTCACGCCGTGTTTCAAAGTCGCGTCCAGTGCCGCGAACCGGCATCGAATTCGACGAAAAACCGTATCAGAGTCGATAAGTGCAAAGATCCGACACGAAAACGCTTTCCGCACACGCTCACGAGCACCTCGCGGACAAGCGTACGCAGCCGTCGACCACCACCCCTGAGCGAGTCCTAACCGGAGTGCAGCCACGAGTTCCGTAGCTAGCCGAGACGTTCGGAGTTTTCTCGCCGATTCCGACGGAAAATCGTCCGCTTGAAATCCCTCTTACGTACAGGTTCCCCCAACCGGAGTCAAATCGACTCCCGAGCCCGCACCGAGGCTCCGAAGCGGAGCGCCGCTATCAGCGCGGAGTCTACCGCTGACGGTTCGCCATTGGAGCGGTCCGAGTCCGGAGTTGTGCGGTGGGAACTTTTGCGCAAGGGCCGCGCTATCCGTGCACCGCGACCGGTGCGTCCACGGCAGGTGTACTCACCAGAGCGTTCGCTGATCCGGATGCTCACAGAGTGGTGTGCTCTGTCTGTCCGTACGCTGGCGGTGGTGCTCCTGCGGGCTGTCTCTGCGAGTGGTGTGTATGTATCCGACGATCACTGAACACAACACTTGATAAACAGTCGACCGAAGCAGCTGCGTTCCGCCGCACGTAACGAGATCACTGTGAGCCCACTACACTTATGTTTCAACACGGTTTCCGAGCCCAAAACCTAAGTAGAACCCCGGGTTGAAATATCTTCTCCACACACTGTACTGGAACAACGGCGGATGCCTTCGCCGCTTCTTCCTACCCCAACGTTGCTGCTGCTCAGCCTGGGCTGCTGTCACCAGGCGTAGAGGGCGCTGCGAACCGGCTCAGTTATGCGCGCGCAGCCTCACAAAACCTCGGTCTGAGGGTTCTTGGGAAGAGGGCAAGATGTCGCCGCCACCGCTGCTGACGCCGCCGCCACACCGTTGGATCCGTTGCCTGTTGTTGTGAGAGGAGACCCGGTGCGCAGCCGCCGCCGCCGCCGCTGCTGCCGGTACCGCGCTGGTTCAGTTGCGGCGAGAGAGTTGTGATGGGGGAAAGGGCTGAACGGGGAGAGTACGTTTCGCCGACGACGCTTGGAAATTCGAACGTAACGTGTTCTTGAATGCACACCTCTCCCGGCGGCAACGGCAAGAAAACGGCTCGCCGGTCGTCGCGTCCGCTTCTGTCGGCGGCTTGCCATCTGGGGTGATGCCGAAGGCGAGGGGCAACCGAGACTAAACCGACGCCCCAGCACCTATTATGTTACGGTCCACGACGGATCTGAGGCGAACGCCCTCATCTCGAACCGCTGAGACGACAATGCGGCCGTCGAGTCGACGATGGCTGTCGTTCGGGTTGGTGGATGGGTACTGAACGGGCGATGGAAGGGAAAATGTCAGACCGGGATTTGTATTCACAAACAGGTGTACTCACGAGCGGTGGGGATTAGATACTCGTTCGACTTCTCCCGCGAAACGAAACCTACGACTTACGACTCGTCCCGCTCTCGGACTTCGGTTCGTTTTATGGATACTGCGAGTATCATGAATCATGATTCATGAATGAGGCAGAAATTCCGTTCGCGCGACTCTGACAGAAGTTTCCCGAGCTAAGTCATGAAACTTCCAAGCACCGTGTCGCAAACCTGTTACGCCGCGATTGAAGTCATCACGTCTAGTTGAGCTCGGCGCAGGCTGAAAATCTCTAATCTTGAGTCTCTGTACCTCAGGATTCTGGGATCCCTCCATCCGATCGGGTTGGGGATGTCCGTCAGGGGAGAAAGGATGAATGTTTCGGCTCCAACACGCTCCTGAAGTCCTAAGGAGTACTCGTTGGGACATATGCAACTGTTTCGATCTTCGGGTAAAAGTGATACTGCTTGCGAGACGGCGGTGGAGTAGAACGGGGAATGATGAAATAAATCGTCGCGTTTGCCCCTTCAATCACGAGATTCCATAAGAAACTTTCCCAAGCTTCAAGTCTCAATTTAGTCGGAAAATCGCGGAAGTTTCCGGCTGTTCCCCTCTCTAGAATCACCCGCTAATCTGTACCGGACGCACCAAAACCAAAAAGCCTTATCGAGAAAATGTCTTTATTTATTACTGATTGGTTCCAAAAATCTCTTTCGTTGTCCTTTTTTTTACAAATCGGTTGACCAAGAGAGGACTCCGCGTCAGTGGTTGGACTATCCTGTGATCTGTGATATATTCTATCTCCCGACTACCGTTCACAATGATGTGAGGTTCTGTTCCGTTGAATGAGGCTGCTGAATGAATAGCTTGATGTGAGGGAACGATTGCGTCATTTCATTCCGACAGCAAATTCAATCGTTCGAAATTCAATGATTTGGGAGTTGTCTCCCGATCGACCGACCATCCATCCAGCACTCAACAACGTACGCGCTGCAATGACAATTACACATATCTGAAAGTATATATGTATTTATATATGTCTGTGGCCTACTTACTCCATACCGAAAACTCTTTCTCTCCATAAAGTAACTCCATGGATCAAGCATGCTGTCTAAAGTGGGTTCCAGTTGTATGAACGGACGCTCGTCCGTTTTCGCACAGTTTTTTTTTACCGAAACCGCCGCAGACGAACATCTTGAACAACACGACCACTATGAGCGAGTCATCTTTGCACAGAAACGAATGTTCTCTTTCGTTTCCGAGAGCGGGAACTCAATGATCCGCTTCCAATCAGTGGGCTCCGGTCTGTTTTCCATAGATTCGTCTCCGGGGTCCGGAGTGAAATCTGTCATGATTCAGATTGTATGCTTCGCGGTCGATGAGTTGTGTACAATGAGATACGAAGATGTTCAGAAATGGCTGCCGACCACCATTTAGAAAGGCGGGCGGCCACCCACCTAGTCCGAGGGGGATTGCGAAAAAATTTCAAACATTGTCCCAGGCTCACGCTTCGTATGTACACCGAGAAGCGCGATCGGGACAAGCGATAATCGTCTGATGTCGACCTTTGAGGCATTTCCTTCCTTTCAAACCCATCGGCTATGTAAAGTTTAGTAGACGAACGGGACGATGCGAGATCGGACCTGATCCGCATATTGTTTGTACTCGTAGTTGGTGTTCTTTTCCAACAAGCGACTTCGACAGCCGATGAGCATGACCAGGTAGATGAAATGAGCCCACGGCAGCACAGCGGGACCGCACAACAGCGTCCAGCAAGCGGCGCAGATCAATTCACCCAAGTAGTTCGGATGGCGAACGTAGGCGAAGGCTCCAGTGCGGAGCACCTTCTTGCCTCCGGAGCGAGCGTTCTGGTACTTGATGTAGTTAGTGTGGTGGATCAGGAACAATCCAATGAGGAACGCCACCGACAAGGCGACGTAAACGGCTACGTGGTACTCGGGTCTGGGTTTAACGTCGAGCAGGTACCGGAGGGGAAGGGTTGCGCAGATGGGAGTGAGGACCAGGCAGATGAACGTCGTCAGAAATCCAACACCTTGATTGATGAAAGCGGATTTCAAGATATGGATTTCGTTGTACGAGCCGAGCAGGACGTAGATCGCCTGGACCAGAGCGACGAAGAGCACATTGTAGTTTAGAGCGCCCTCATTTCTCGAGATGTGGACAGCTGAGTAAATACTCGCCGCCCAGAGGAAGTTCGTGGTACGTAAGAGGATCAGGCAGAGGTCGTAGGTCTGGCCGATTTTCGGAGCGACCTCACGTCCGTGGACGAAGTCGTGGACGAAGTTGTCGGAGGTTGGCGAACAGCACAGAGATCCGTGGTTGACATGCTGGTCTTTGATCACAAACGGTTTGACGTACAGGATCGTCGCGTAGACGAGAGAAACGAGGGTCATCGCGCAAACGCTCTTGAACCGGCTGCTCTGTAGAACGTACGCGTGCGGCACCGAGAGGAAATGAGTTGCCAAGAAATATGCGCCGAAGGTGAGAATCAAGGTGAGGAGGCCATTCGATCGGTACTTGTAGATTGCCCGTCGGTAACCGAATCCGTTCACAACAGAGCCCAGGGGAATGGCCGAGAAGAAAGCGACCAGGGCAACGGATGCAAGCCCGTGTCCGATGAAATACGGGTCGAAGTACGTGCGCAAATGCGAGGGCACAATTATGTTCCAACGAGGATAGCAACGTTCTCTGGTGCAGAGAAGATGGAGGAGGACCACATACGCAGGGAGCACCGTCAACCAGAAGACCGCGAGAAGAGTTCGGCGATATCCGAAGTTCTTGACACCGCTGATCGCCTTCTTGCAGAGCTCAGCTACCGTCAACCTTTTCTTCTCGTGCCGTTTATCCGCGGGACCGTCGACAACGGTTTTCCCCTTCGCGGCTTCGCGGGCTGCGATGGTTCGTCGAGGTCGTGTCGATGGGACCTCAACCTTCTTGTCGGGGGTGGCGGCTTTTTTCGCGGCCGCTTGAGACGCTCGCGAGGAAGACCTGGAAGGGAAGAAATTCGATCTCTGTACAGGGGTAGGGGGAGCGTCGCAGGATTCCGGTCTGAGAGACCAATCGCAGAGAAAAACGTGACTGGTCCTCAAGATATGAACGTCGCTCAGAAATCCGCCAGAAAAAAAAGTACGCATGTAGCATGTTCTCAGAGCGGGGTATCGACGTGGAAATACCTTGATCGAGGCTTCGGTTCAGACTTTCTCGACTGGGATCTCGCCCTCGACCGAGGTCTGGATGCCGAGCGCTTCGCACTGTTTTTTCTGAAATAAGACATGCGAAAATCAAGGAAAATGAAAATCAAGAGATGAAAGGTCGACTTGTATGGGAACCTAATTTTAACCCAGTAAAAGCAAGCATCGCCGCAAGGATCACCGATTACATATAAGCAGACAACTCAGTCGGGGAACGTCGAGGAAGAACACCACGCAGGCACGGATCTCACACCTAGCTCAAGCAGGATTTTCTCTATTGTGAACATCGAACGATTCGTATGGGGAAGACCGATGTCCATGATAATGTCCGGCAGCAGATTATTGCGTAATCAAGAACTTCATCGGAAAAGGCCCCGGGTTTCCTCGTATCTGTACTCTGCACTGCGATGAAGGGCAGTCCTTCTTGAGGCAGGAACCTTTCGTCTCGTAACAGGAGAGAGACGCATTGTGCGTGATGGCATGACCCAATTCGGAAGAGAGACGTATCACATCGACAGGGACGATACCGAGCCTCCCGCCAAGTCTGCAGCGAAAACTTCATGGCGGACTTCCAGAGTCGCAAGATTTACACCGTGGACGGCCATCACAAAGCCAGTCATCGAACTTCTGGAGCAGACTTCCTAAGAAGGTCTCGGATTTTTTTCCCTCGCGCAAAGGTTTACCCTCTGAAATCCGACGCGCCCCTGTCCTCCGCCCTAAGCACCAGAACTTCGTCAAGATTCTCCGCACATCAAGCCCGCGAAAGGCTTCTGAGAATGATGTCAGTCACGAGCGCCCAGGTCGCGTGTATAGCTAGGCACCGGGGAAGCCCCGACACGAGACGGTTCCCAAGATAGCTTCCGGAAATCAAGACTCGCCAACGAGCCGCAAGGGTGAAACAGGTGGGATGCTTCTTCAGAGAGTTGAGCGACCGATTCGACTAGCGTAGCGCGTTCATCCCAAACATCAGGAACATTCCGACGTTTCCGTTCAGGCTTACCTCGCCTTGGGTGCCTTCGGTGTGGGGCTGCGACCTCGCGACTTCTGTCTACCCCGAGATTTGGAGCGCTCCTTCTCAACCTTCGGCTCACTTTTCGACTTCGGACGGCCGCGAGGCTTCGCGGGACTCTGCGATTTCTGTGAAGTCATTCAGATGTCAATTTTCAGGACTATATTTGAACATTCGGGATCCACGTATTTTCCGCTCCCCAAACGATATCTTCTATCCTCTCAGAAATGGATTGTGTGAAGATGAAATTGTCCCGGACGGGAGCGCGAAGAGCAGAGCAGACGACTTACCGCCATCGGGACCGGTTTTTGCAGTGTTCTCTCCTTCAAATGGATTTCTGAAAGGGAAAAATCGTTGTCAGATTAGACGTACGCCGCCAGATCATCTTACGGAGCAGAAGGCCTCACTGATTCAATCCCCGTCCCACACGTAGGAGAGAAGGCATGATGGGGATCGCGAGTTCAATAATTTCACGAACTACATCCCTCCAGCCGATTGAGTCAACGGTTTCCGAACATCGCGAATTCCATGCTTGACTGCGAGTGAAGTCGTGAGACAAAATGAGGTACATAACGCCGGACGAGAACTCGGCGTAACCAACACGAAAAAAAGAGATCCGCGATAATGCGTTATCTGAAGCCGATATGACTCAAGCTGGTCGACTACTGAACCGAACGATCAGGAATCTCACTGAGGCTGTACTAAGAAAGAGTCGCACTCGATTCTCAACAAGCACCCATTGTGACTTCTCCGAGAGGCATCTTCATTCTCGGCCGCACGAACTTCAGAAGGTATACTTGACTGAGCCGACTTCGCGCTCGACTGTGCTTCACTGCGCGATCCCTCAGAAACTCCTGAAAATCTGAGGGCGTCGCTCAGAAATGTTGTTCAACGGACCCACTTGTGTGAGGTCATGCATGTCAATGTTTAACGGCCGCCAGGGTGGCTAATTAAGCCAGAATAGACGCTCACGTTTCCACCTCGCCCAAGTGGAACCTGCGAGTAAGTCAAAAACAATGTATCCATTCCACTGGACCGGACCGTCGCGGCAATGCTCTTGGAACAGGGAGTCAATCCCCCATCCAACTCCCATCATGGGCCCTGCCGTAAGACCAGGGCGGTGACGGGAAGGCGCCAGAGGTCCTGCACTTCCGAGCATCGAACTCCATCTGAGATCGTTCACAAGTCCCCGGGCAAGGCTACGAATACCTTGAGATCAGAAGCAGCCTTTCGAATTGAGCGCCGAGTTGACGTCGCTGCGGGAAGCGCGGGCTTTCTCCATCGACCGTGTCGTACTCGGCCCACTGAAGAGCTGAAGCTACGAATACGGCGGGATTCCCGATACATGACGATTCCTGACGTCTAAGGAGGAGAACACCGCAAGAGCAAGAAGAACGTACGCGCGAGAAATCGGCTGTCAGCCAAACCCCGCGTTTTTCGCAGGTTCGACGACAGCGATGACCGTTAGCCCGCCTTCCAAGTTTCCGTTAGAGGACTCTGACGGAGAATTTTTCCGCGCAGATCTCCAGATACCTTCGCCCGGCCGACACTCACATCCCGCCACCGAAATCCGGCAGAGGGAATTTTCTGATCGAAACTCACCCGATTCCGAGTTGAATCCCGCCACTGAAGTAGCCTTGCTCACTGAGCCGATGATAGAGTTTCCTGGTGATGACGACAGCTCCCGCGATTTCAAATACGGCGTCCCCGCTATTTGTTTGAGGGCGCTGCCATCGCGGCGGTCGACCAATGGCGCCAGCCACCAGGTGACGCTGCCTCGCGGCTAACTGCTAATGTCATGCTTTTGAGAGACGGCGACCAGATCATGTTGTCGTTCTGCGCGGCCTTCTGTACATGCATACCGATCACTCGATCTCAGGTACAATTGCCGCTCGTGCCAGTCATCTTCTCCTGCTGCTGCCACGATGACGTTGGAGAGAGGGACAACCAGCTCTCGTCTATAGCTGTTGCTGCTGGGAGTGCTTCTACGAGAACTACGGCGGCGGGGACCCAACGGCTGTTCTAAACTCTCGCAGGCTCAAAGGCAGACACCGACCCACCCCGATAAGTGGGAACATGGTAGACAACAGAGAATCGGGCTGTTTTGTGCCAGCGATCGAGCCAGCGATTGAATGAGGGGGACCTCGTAGCCAAGGGGAACAGCACGCGTCTCTGAGGGAGCCCTCTGCCTCGGCGATCATTGGCACGAATATTTCGGCGACAATCAAGCAAAGTCACGGTGTCCGAAGCTGCACTAGGGGAGCTGGAAAGAACTTTGGCACACAACTCCCGCAGAAATGGCTTTCCTTATCGCTCATCGCCGGAGGGACATTCGCGATATTCGTCGGAGGATTTCCTCCGCAGGAGAGAAGCTTCTCGGGGCTGTCGCTCTTGGATGGAATTCTTCAGCCAATACTAAAAATACCTACGGGGCCCGCAAACCCGTGGCCCGAATGCCGCATGAACCTTCGATGCCTTCCCCGGCGAGGAAGAAGCGGAAGAACGAGTTGAAGATCCAGAGATAGGAAACATAATGTAGTGCCTGGAGCTAGGGAGCCCGAAGCTCCCGCTAGCGCGTCAAGTGCGAAATCTCCCCAGAACCGGCAGATTCCTTCGTAAGAGAACCCTCGAAGCTCAGAAGGCTCGACGGCGAAATTCACAGATATGTTCTGCGACTTCTTCGGTGACTCAATTTTCCTTGGTTTCCCGGACCTCTGAGAGAGACTCGATCGATCAGTGTGTTTCAATAAGAATATGAACCCTTTATTCTGCCTCCTCTAGAACCCAGTCCAGTTTGCTTTCGCCATAACCGCGAAGGCTGGACGAATTTCTTCACTCCTCTCCGGATCTGTAAAGCGATGGAAGAGACCGTCAGACAAGGTTCGCCCTATTCATGTCGGCACGTAAGAGGGTATTCCGTCCTTACGGTAGAGCCGATTTATGCTGAGTTGCTTACCATTATAAACATCGTCGAACGTGAGAACGTCGTCATTGCCTAACAGCGTGTCCCTCATCAGATTCGAAGAGGGGAGACATGGCAAGCGTCCGACCGTTTTGCATGCTCGGAGCTCAGCGACAATTCTAGATCATCAAAGAAAACTATTAATACGGCTCAATAGTCGTCATTGCTGATTGATTATATAAGTCGTTTCTGTGTTTGCATAAGCTAATTGCGCATCGAATTCCATCGCATGCGCCGGAGCTCTATATGAACGCCAAGTAAGGCTCACTTGAGCGGGGCGTGCAAGCCCTGGAGAGTTCGCATCGTCCTCAGACTTCTCTGAAACTCGTTTTGGGCGTAATTCCGCTCGCTCAGCTCCAGGGGATGACCCATCTCCAGGCTCTCTTTGACGTTGACGTGACTGCGGAGGAACAGACGAGAGCTTTAGGGATAATCCTGGGAATACCATCTGCAATCATCTGCCGAGCAGCACAGCCGAGCTCAGGGGCATCCTCGTTCCGAGGAAAAAAATCGTGCAGCTGACGTCCACGATAAAGGGATTCTCGCGACTCTCACTGAGGATCTCCTCCAATCGAACCGATCTCTGAGACCATCTGAATTCACCCCAAGATAATCTCCGTCCTCTTCGTGGGAAAGAAGCCCAGTAAATAGCCTCAGACGTCACCGATGAGCGATTTCCTCGATGAGCATCGAAGAGTGCACTTGAGTGAGATGCAATTTCCATTCCTCCAGACATAACCTTCCACCACCCCAAACGATGATCGTCATCGTCAACTGATGTGGGGAAATTCTACCGAACCATGGGATCTTCCGTAGCGTCTTCAGCCCCTTCTCATGTCGGATTCTCATGCACAGCTTCACTCACCCATGTTTGAGAACTTCATGGGCTCCATACTCGCCAGTCTCTTTCAGGGGATTCTGCATTGTATCTGGAACAAATTACGAGTACATTCATTTAGATCGAATTCATAACAAGATCGACGACTGGACTGACAGAAAACACCTCCGCCATCGGCTGAAAGTCCGCGATACTCCTTGGTGGACTGATGAGGGCCTCGTCAGGATTGGAGAGACCCTCACGTACGAGAGTCTGGCATTCGATTAAGCAGCTTACAGGTAATTCGGGTAATTTACACACGGAATGAATCGGCGAATCTTCGGCGACAGAAAACAACACTTCTCAGGGAGATCAATGTCATCAGCGCTAGCAGACGACGTGACGGATGGAGGGCATTTTGCGTTTGAAAGTTCTGGCGCAAAAAACTCGGAGGAACCTTTGGCGACCCATAGTGGCGCCTTGTCTCCCGCTTTGTCGGGGGCTTGATCTTGGCTGAAGTTCGAGTATGCCCCGCTGGAAAGTCAACTCCAGAGCGAGACCTACAGCTAGACCTCTCGGGGATCTTCTACCGCACATTTTCGTGCTTGATTGGGGTGCCGCAACAAGTTCCGCCTTTGAATTCCACACGAATCATAAGCCGACCCAGGGAGTCGATGACCTTTACAGCGGCTCGATTCGTGGATTCACAGTGGCCAGTGGCGCGCTCGACCGAAATCACCGACCGCAACGCATCGCATACCATGATGTGCCAACAGGACTCGAGACGGAGCATAGCGTCCTCCTCCGTCGACGATACCAAGGAGATGGTCGATTCCGGCCTCTGGGAGCGCGTTCCTGGGAAGTCTTCCCGAAGCATTGAAGCGACTGCGATTCGCTCCCAAGCCTTCAAACGAGGAAGGCACCATCACGGCGAGACGGTCATCAATTCAGAAGACTGTACTGCGCTCGAGGTGAAGTTGATCATTACGAAAGGGCGCATATGCAGAATTGCTAGGGAACAAGCGGCTGACATGAGCAAGTCAAAAACGGAATGACTCTCCGAGGACGACTCTCAAGAACTCGGCTTTTCGCCGTGTCCGAGGAACAGGGGAGAGCTTTGGAAGGAGGATTTGGGCACTCCTTTCTCGCAGCCGTCTCGAAGTACGGCCAGCTCTTATCGAGCCGATAACCTGATTGATGAGGTCCGTGCCCTCGCTGATGCAAGGACACGCCTTCAATTAAGAATAACTCCCAAGGAGCGTACAACAGACGGGACATGGCACACGGCCTCAAGCTGGAATCCGACAATTCCATGTCATTCGCGCTGCGCTTGATCCTTCTCCGCGATCCAGGAGGCCGTTCTCGATCTCTCTCCCCCGATAAGAACGGCCGTTGAACTGTTGTGATGTGAGATATTCCAGCCACCCGAAAGGACTCAATTTCCGTAGAGGGATAGGTATCGGGTCGGGTGGTCTGAACTATACGGAAGTGAGACCTCGGTCTGCCTGATTTCAGGAGCTGTTCGTGCTTTCTTCGAGCGCTCCTTCAAATTGGAGCACCCTGACCTTCACTAGAAGGGCCTAGCACGATCCGGACTCCGTGATTTAGCTTAAGGTTCCGAGACTTAGCGCTAGACGACATTCGCTGAAACAGCGGTCTAAACCGTAAACAAACCGAATGGTGGACTGGTGGGAGGCTGCCGCATAAGTACCCAAGCTGATTTGGTGAGAGGTCGCGCGCGAGCTCGTCTCGGTGTTTCTTGGTCGATTGCGGGGGACATGCGCGCCCGATAGAGTTTGTGGAAGTGCCGAAGTCGATTGCGGATCAAGGTGAGTTTCTAGATCGCTCGGATCCGATGATCCTGTGACCCTTCACGATGTTTTTTCACAACGGTAGAAGCGGTGGTACGTCCCTCCCTACGTCATCTGACTTGTTGTCTGCAGCGGCGGCGGCGTACACATTGGAACGCGCCAAGTGAAATTCCCCCCGAATTTCCCAATGAGCGAGTGCGGCGAGGAATTCGTGCTTGAAGCGATACTCGATTGTCCGAAAGTCCTTCTGAACGTCATCAAAGCGGTACGGCTCCGAAAAAAACGGGCCACCCTCGAAATCAGTCCGGAGGGCATCAAATTCATTTCCGAAGAAGACAAATGGATCCAGGCTGTGGGATTTCTGCAGAAGCAACTCTTCAAGCAGTACGACTTCAAGAACGGCGAGAGCTGTGAGGAGGTGTCATTCGAAGTCTCTCTCGACCATCTCGAGCACTGTCTCAATCTCTTCAACGCATCCTGGGCAACTTCGACCGTTAAGATCGTATACCCGGGGAAGGACAACACATTTGTATTGTTCGTTGAAGAGAGCGGGATATTCAGCGAGGCAGAGTTCTACACTTTCCAATGCGACGATCCGATCGAACTGGAAACTATGGACGACGTTTCGAACAGGATACTGTTCTCGTCCGAGCTGCTCAAAGAGATTTGGGCTGAAATGGATCAGACAGCATCGATGCTCAAGCTGGAAATGTCAAGCGAGAAGGTCTCGCTTGCCACCGACACGATGAGAATTGAGATCGGAAAAACCTCGGACGGGATCGTTCTCTTCGAAAGTAAACAGAACCAGGAAGTGAAGTACAACATGAAGATCCTTCGAGCTACCCAGAAGGCCCTCAGTTTTTCCGACAATGCTTCGGTGCGACTTTCACCCCAGGGTGTAATGAGTTCGCAGTTCCTCATGAAGAACGAGGCGGGCTTCGACTACTGCATAGAGTTCTTCTGCAGGCCCCTCGACGATTTCGACGATACGGAGAGCGAAATTTTGGAGGGATCGAGCTCAGGATCCCAAAACCAAAGTTGATGTACAATGTGTGAATCTACTCCCATGTTCTCGATAGGTACTTGAAACTTGACACCAAGAAGATTTAAGATGATCTGTCGGTCGCAATCACACCCAGCTTCGGCTCCTGAAGCTGGCTGAGGAATGATTGGGAGAACCTGTGGAATGCTCGTGGCCGTTGATTAAATTTATCGGTTCTTTCGCCCTATCATCGAAAGTTGTTCTCCACTCAAGAGTTGGGTATATTTTATCGCTGCACGCGCGATATTTCGGGGAGCCAATCCAGACAGATGATCTTGAGCTTGTGGTGTCGGAGTCCATATTCCGTCGGATACACGGATTCCTGTCGTGGCGGGCTCGACCCCGGGCTCAGGATCACAAGCTCCAGGGCAATGGAGGAAGGAGAGAGCGTATACGTGATCCGATGCGCTCTCTTGTCAAGGGGCCCGGGCTTGAGTCCCTCGTGTCAACGAGCTGTTCGCGTGAATAGCAGGGTGTCATCTGCTCGATGGCGTCCGCCCTGCAAAGAAGGAGAGTCATCCATCTCTTGGGTGCGTGCTCGCATCTCGTTGTTTCAATTCTAATGCATCTCCTTCCGAGTCGGTTACGAGATACGGATGAAAAAGCTATTCGAGGACGACACCGTCTCCCTCCGGCTCGACTTGCTGCTCGAGACGGAACTGTCCGTCCTTTCATTCGTCGCGGGAGCCGCGAGGTCCCGCTACCGAGTTCTGCGAGGGAATGAGCTGAGCCGATCTTCTCGAAAACCCTGCGACCTTCCCATCAGGTCCTCTAACGAAGTTCCTAATCGATAGACCGCGCACGTCTCGGCGCGCTCCAGATTCCGGAGTCCAAAGTAGGCAACCCAGTGGATGGGAAGGTCGAATGTTCTTTGCAGTGCCATAAACACATGTAATGTGTCAAGAAGCGATACCATCTGTCGGCGTAGCGTTTCGTCGAGAAGGGAGAAGGCTTTCCACTTTCCTCTTCGGTCCGCAGTTCGGACAGCTGTGCTCACCATCGTCGCTTCAGTGACTGAGCTGCTCTGTTGGCAACAGTTTTCGTTCGGTGAGGCGCCGTGCCGTTTTCAACCCGGTGCTGCTCCGTCTTTGTTGTGTGTGGCGATAACTCGTAGTGCATTGTTTTGAATCTTTTGCTTTCTACATCCTTCACCTTCTCCATTAACTACGACCGCTGTGCCGTGGTCCACCGATACCTCCATCATCATCAACACCAACATTGGAGAAGACACGACGCGGACGACTAGTGCTTCATGCGGAGAAAAACAACGTCAACCACGTTCCTTCTTCGGACCTCTTCACTACCATTCGAGTGAAGAGCAGGCGTCTGTTACCTAGGCATCGGGCGTCCGAAATCCTTATTCGAACGTGGAAAGGTTGTCATTCGAAGCCTCGAGATGTTTGTAAGTCTGCCAATCGTCGTTATCAGCAAAGAGGTTGTCCACGTCAAATACGCGACGGGTTGTGTTCGAATTTGGGCTGTATTTGTCTCGCCACGCCTAACTGCTCTGTTTGGTGAATTCGAACGCTCTCCCAGCGTTGCTCCGTCGATCAGTCTGCAGAACGATCGATCGATTCCCGGTACCGTGACAATCGAGAGCCGAATTGGGAAATTATTCCGGGCCGGTACCTCCCGACGCCACAACAGCAGAGTCCGCGGCGATGGGGACTGCGGAAACAAGATGAACCGGTCAATCTTCTTGGGTTCCTGTACCGTCGACTGACGTCCTTGCCGTCGTTCGGGGAGCAAACTAGGTAGTTCAGCTGTCGTCTTTCGGAAGCATGACTGGTTGACTTGCAGATATTGCTCAATCCGAACGCCTTTTTTTGTATCGTCACCGTGGCGGCGCTGGCGACCACCTCCGCCGTCGTAGCGGCGGCAGCATTCTTCTTCGGTGCTGCCCAGTGTGCTTGGGAATGTTCGCCGGCTCCTTCTGCTGCTTGAATTTCGCTTAGCACTTCATTGGAGCCTGGACCCTCGGCTGTGATTCTACTGACCAGCTCCTGGCTGCATTGCCTCATCGAGCCCATCTTAATTGGAGAAATGAAATGAGGAAATACGTCATCGTCTAGATTGATCGAAAGCTGTCTCTCGAATTCCACTTAGAACTTCCAAATCCGTAGATCTATTTCGAATATATCCATCTGCGATTGGGGAAAGGATTCCCGGATTCGTCGTGGTTGATTATATATCTTTTAGCCCGCTTTCGCATCGAGTATCGCATTCGTCGGTAACTTTTGCGTTCTAATTACAGATGGAAGACTACAAATTCTTGTTCAAAGTTGTGCTCATCGGGAATGCAGGCGTTGGGAAGACCTGCTTAGTGCGCAGATTCACACAGGTGAGTTGTGATTGAATTCCATGCGAGAAGGGGCATCGGTACACAGACAGAAGCGTAATTTAAGTGCCGGCTGAGCCTGTTGCCCGACATCATCTCGCGTTGTATACCCGATGTCGTTCTCTCTGTACCGCTCGGTTGATTGCATTTGTTCGTCGGCTGTCGGGCTCGCTCGCTTTGTGGAACATAGACAAACATTTCCTATTCCCAGCGAAAGTCGTGTTGTCCAGAGTCAGCCATACAAAGCCCTCGAGAGGTTTTATCTTTCGGGGAACTACAGTGGTAAAAAGTCCGTGAGGCCCGGGAGAAAGAGACGGAATTGCGTTTGACGTATTTCCGACTGAAATTAATTGTTGAACAGCGTCTCACCCTGACGTCGAATATCCAATTGGATGATGGCTTATATCGTTGATGTTGTCAGAAATGCTCATGATGACGATCTCGTAGATGAATTGATCCCGAATCCTCCTGAGGCGTCGGATGGCCTTACTCAGAGCAGAGATTCGGAATTAGCAACAATGACAAAGTTGGTCTACCATCCAGCTACGCATTCGTCTACCGATCAAGCCAGCCAGCCAGTCAGTCACTCAGTCAGTCAGTCGAACTTACATCTGGAGATCGATGAGTCATGGTTTCTATGACATTACAACGCGCTGGACGTTTAGCGACGTCTCGGAAGAAGATCCTGATTCGTTCTCCAGGATCTTCATGGAGCGCACACATCGCTCACCAAGTCCCCTCATACACGCATACGTCATACCCCGATGAAACTGGCTCGGTTCAGGTTCCCTGTTCCATCGTTTGACGTAGGCCCGAACGGCTTGCGAAGTCCGACTTGGAACGGCTGCAATAGCATGTGCTGTTGTGAGCCACGGAGGAGGAATAGTAGATAGCCGCGTACTTCTCATGAAAACTGTGAAATCCCGGACCGAGAGGATTTTCGCTCAGAAGCGAACCGGATTGACGCTCGCGGCGGCTGTTTGGAAATGCTTGAGAATTTATGAAGCACCTTCCTTTGTCACGGGGAAGGCTGATGCCCTTCTTCCGGCGTTAGCAACGACAGCAGCGTCGAAGTCGGATCTCCATTTGAATGCCAGCTCGAATCCTGGAGCTTCAGGGCGGACTGTCAATCTTCGGTCATTCGGTTCTTGGAAAATTCTGTATGATTTGATGTGATCGCCGCCTTTCTGAAATTCGCTGATCCGCGCGTGTGGTTATCTCGTGGAACTGGCCATGCCGTAAAGCCTCGTGGCTGTTCCGATGACGACAAGCGCTGACGCCGCACCGCCACCGTCATTGCGGCCACCGCACGTCTTGCATCTGCGGGATGAGTCACGCTCGTTGGCGTATGATCATTCGTTCATTCCCGGTTCAATTCTTGCTTTAATAGAACAACAACATCGACCAAAGGAGCTGCAGTGCTCCTACCATATGAAGGCTCTATCGGTGCGTTCGCAAAGCTCGAGAGGTCGAAGATCCCTTCCTCAAGCCGGGGAAGCTGTCACACGATGTGAGCCTCAGCTGTTCTGTGGTGGAATCGCTTCCCTTGAATCGGCAGACGATCCGAGCCACGTGAGGTCGACGGATTTTTGGAAGTGGTTTCAGATTCTCCTTTGCTTATCCTTAACAGTTTGAGTGAGTCTGGGAAATCTAAAGATGTCGCAGATCGCCTATTCCGTCTGGAACACCGACTTAGCCGAATCACCGCTGACGGACAAGAGGCCGGAAAGCTGCTCCACGGCGAGGAAGATCTAAACGGGAAACCGCATCGAGCGTCGGATGCACGGTCCCCAATTGGTCTCATCTGTATTTATTCCCTCCATGGATTCCAATTGAGACCGTTACGGTACAGGGCTTTCCTCGGAGGCTTCGTCGGATAGGAAATCTCTCTACTCCGAGAGATCTATCGGAACGTGCTTCAAGAACGATCACAAACCCACGAAAGCTACCGGGAAATCATGCATCTGCAGAGATCGTCAAGGCGCTCGCGGAATTCCGCCGGCGAATTGAAAATCGTGGAATCAGTATCGAGCGGTAGAGCAACTGAAATTCACGGAAGGGAAACCGTCGGAATATGAAGGAACGAAGTCTGTCGCAGACTTCGCCGGCTAACTTTGGCTTGAGTTGAATGAGTCGTGCTTCGCGAAGAAAAAGTGGGCCCCGTTCCGGAAGGCGTGCGGAAGGATGTTCGCGTTTTCCCGTTACGCCAACAATTCCGCCGACTTCTGGTTCCGGCCGGGGGTCGATGATCTGCGCTTCCCTAGAACAAGGGCTCGCTAGCTGGATAAGCTCGAGAAGTGTTCCCGAACTTCGCGATGGCGACGCTCACCAACGTTGACCGCAGTGCTGCGGCTGGCCACGTTTCCCCCTGTGCGTCGCATATTTCCGCCATCAGTATCGGAGGATGAGCGAGTTCCGATTTGTTTCGCCATCCGGTCTCGCTGCCATCTTCTGCGAGTTTGTCGGAGCAGATTGAGTTCTCCCATACGCGGGAGGATGATGAAATATTCAAGATCGATTAGAGGGGGTGATCTGTCCCGCAGTGCGGTTGAGAGGGAACCAATCGCGTCTCGGGGCTTCTCCCGTGCGGGGAAGCGGTCGGAGCGGCCACCCATCGGAAGTCGTTCCCCGGAAGAGCTCCATGAGTAGAAATGCCGCTGGGTCGGTCGGTTGGTTAGCTCGCTGACTGACTGACTGCCAGCCGGCCACGGCAGATTTCAATGGGGCCAGTACGACTGGCAAACTGTTTGTGTCTGTGAGCGAACGCGTTCTGTGGGACTGGGTCACCAGCGGCGAAGCCGCTCCGTGCTCACCGATGCCCATTGACGGCTCTGACTGACAGCGGTTTCTGTCGAGAATCAGATAGAGCAAGCGTTAGAGCAAAGTTCTCGCATCGATTTTCACTTTCCATTGGAGGGTGGAGGAAAACTCCGCCCATTTCATGAAATTCCTCTTCGAAGATCATCGCGTTTTCAATTGATTTCGGGTATCGACATCGCTCGTAAGGGATAATGGATCAGGAAGAATCTCCGATTGAGGAAGGGACCAATCATTTATCGGTACGGTGATAATGAGCCTCTGTCTCCGGCGAATTCCTCCGAGACAGTTCCGGCTCGGTCGGCTCGGAGGCTCCGAGCCGGTACTTACTCAACTCTTGAGATCATTCACGTGGGATTCGTACACCGATGATGCGTATAAGGGGGCTTCGGCTCCGGTCGGGAATTCAGGACGGCGCGGCGGATCGTTAGTCATCGCCGATCGCCGCAGCAATTCCATTCAGGTATCAGAAATGGAGTTCTAAGAGCTGCATACCGAACGATTCATATTCGGCTTTCCTTATCTGATCCGCAATCACGGCAAAACGGCGTTGAAGTCGCAGTGTAAATGTCGAAGACGACGGAAGAGTCTGGCAATGCTTCATTTACGGATCTTTGGAATTCCTAAACCAAGACGACCCCAATCCGTGAAGCCGTTGCGACTTCGTCCTTGTGACCCTCGCGCAAAATCTTTTCGCCGCCTTAGTCACATTGTAATTTCTTCCATATCATGAGATGAGTGATTCGAATTTGATGCAATAAGTAATGAGACACAAGGAGCTCCGGCTGAGACTCTCGGCTCCCGTCCTTCAGCCCTCTGGACCTCAGCAGGGGTCAGGGTTTACTCGACTACGAACTTATAAGGGTCAAAGGACCCGCTCACTCGTTGGACGCCGGGCAGGGAAGGTCCGAATGGAGGCTGCGAACTTCTGCGGCATCAGTTGCAATTCCTTACGGACTTACTCAATAATCAGACCGAGCTGCCAAGAAAAACACGTTGCATAATGGAACTCTGATGCCAGACTTGCCTGGAGCCTGCCAAAAATCATTTATCGGGCCGCGATACAACTTCTATTCTAAGCAAGTCGCAATGCTCAATCGGAACTTTATCCCAATCGCTTATTAGGAATATGAAGCGAATTCCATGTTCTGTGCAAAAAGCTTTTCTCGTTCCTCAATTTCGCTCTCAGACCCGAGAAATTTCAGCGCCCGCTGATCTGACGTCTGTATTTTTATTCGCAGGGTATGTTCCCACCTGGTCAAGGAGCCACAATCGGAGTGGATTTCCTAATAAAAACTGTCGAGGTCGACGGAGACAAAGTCAAGGTAAAGTGAACGTCGTTTTACTTCTTTCGATCTACCTCTTCTATTGGGTCCATCAGCTCACGAGGTTGAACATACGAAGCTTACCTATAGAACTTCTCCGTCACAGCTTCAAATATGGGACACAGCCGGCCAGGAACGGTTCCGCTCGATAACGCAGAGCTACTATAGGTCGGCGCACGCCTTGGTTCTTGTCTATGACATCTCATCACAGCCAACATTCGACTGTCTCCCCGACTGGTTACGGGAAATTGAGCAGTATGCAAGTCCCAAAGTGTTGCGCGCCGTCGTCGGTTAGTAGATTCACAATTTTGATAATTCCAATATCATTTTCCGATTCTGCTGCACCACGAATCGTTCAGAGGCGTTTCCGCGTTTAGTCACTCTTGTCGATTTTGGGCCGAGTGGCTCCAATCACGTCGAAGTTTTGAGATCGACGCTCGATGCGGGAGTCCGCCCTGTCGGACCTCGAGGTTGTGTCGGGTTGCGAGGTAGAAAAACCTATTAGCCTCCGAAATCTGTCTCTCCCCGCTGCTCTGATCTGAGACGGGTCGGTTCGAACTGTCATCGAGCTCGCAGCACATGTTCAATTTCTCACGGTGACCTTCATCCGTCATACAGGGAACAAGATCGACCGCGACGACCGAGAAATTCCCACGCACATCGGCGAGGAGTTCGCTAGAAGGAACGATATGTACTTTATCGAGACTTCGGCCAAGGAAGCCGACAATGTGGAGAAGCTCTTCACTGAAATTGCACACAGACTCACACAAGAGGCGCGAGCGTCGAGGTCCGTATATCGAAGCGATAATATTCCATTCCCGAATATAGAAGAAATTCTCTGAGTCTGACTCACTTTATCGAGTCCCGTCCCAGCTCTCGATCCCCCACTGACGTTCTTATATATCGAATCCTTCCAGATATTCGACATCAGGACCAGCAGCTCCAGATCTGAGCCAATCTCCAAGTAAAAGCGACAACCCGTGCTGCAAAATGCTGCAGTGAGTGGAGATGGATCACCCGTTAGTGTATTGATACGCGAGGCGTCCCGACTCCGGTTTTCATGGGGGGATCGCTCGATGCCACCTCTTCCTCCGCGGGAAGAAAAACTGACAAGAGAGAGTGAGCTCCTGCGGCTGCCGCTAAACTGGAGCTGCCGGTGCCTTCGAGTGCGTGTGAAAGGATTGCAATCAGCGTGAGAAGCTCGTCCATATTGGAGCCCCTGATCTGCATCGATTCCACAGAGATAATCCATTCCTAGCTCCCAAACGAAACGTACGCTATTTCGCGTCACTGCCAGTGAGAAGTCCGTGACCGGGGAGCGTCATGCCCGACTGGACGAAGAAATTCACTGATCGCTTTACGTTTTTCTCGGAACACTGTGAGAACTAAAATAAAAAATCGATTATACGACTAGAATACCGGATTTCCGAAAGCCCTATCAACACCTTAGCTTCTGTGATACTTCACCACAAGCGATCCAATCGACACACTTTCCTAATCATCATATTCAGCATGAGCATGATATTCTCCACCGCGTCCCACCCGCTCTTCCGCCGTGTGACTCCCCGGAATCTGAAGCATACGAGATCTCTCGACAGAGGCTCGAGTTCTTTCGGAGAAGGCTGTCCTCTGGAACTCTGTAGAAGCTGACAGAGTCCTCAGCGGATATCTTTCTTCTTAGTCGTTGGGAATTCGCCTCATGGTCTGAGAAAGTAAACCGAAAACAACCTTATTAGTCATCTGATCGATGATCTTAGGAACGGGACACCGGAGGATTGTTTTTGTATACATCGATTGTAATAGAAGTGAACGAAGACCCTAGGATACTGATTGAAGCTGAGGAGTTATGATTTGCGACCAGAGTTCAGCAGTCGCTCTGATTGCAATGTATCTCACTGAATTCCGACTGTCTCACAAGAAGGAGAGTCGGCAAACGATTAGATGAGCTAAGGTAAATACTGTTGGGTAATGAGAAACGCCGACGCGAGCAGTGGTTCGACGGAAGGATCTTTAGCGCCCTAGAATTCAACGAAAATGAAAATTCTTGTGCAGACAAGCTTTATCGATCTCTTTTTTCCGCTCCATGTCGAGCCCCGGTAGCAGAATTCTACCAGTCGTTCTTGAGCAATCGATGGGATAGTTTGTGAGAAACAAGCGGCGATTTTATTTGCAAGCCCCAAGTTACTCGAGGAGGCCGAACCTTTCTCGGCTGGGAAACAAGAGATGAATGTACATTTATATTTATAGTATACATGAAACGATTTCACAAGCCGCCAAATCCATCGGTCGTCGGCTAAGCACAGCCCCTCTGACCGGTAACAAGTGATACTCAGAAGTCGGCTCCCGAAGACGATCCTTTTACAATTTTCAATCGTTTCTTGTATTCTTCGGCTTCCTGTTCCTGAGAAATTAAATTGCGTTGAGTCTCGGAATGGCTCCGGAAAAGACAGGAAAACACCCGAGGTCACTTCTTCGAACCTTTTCCTTGAGAGCTCTCTTGTAACGTTCGGCTTCTCGTCTCGTTTCCTCTAGTTCCCTTTGCAGCGACAACCTGTCATCCTTTTCGCTAGCGTTCACTAAGATTATCTGGAGAAAGAGGGGTCAGTAGAGAAAACAACTGAGTTCTGGGTCTTCAGGATCGCTCTCTCGATCCCGGATGACATCTACGCACCGACAGACATAATATTCAGAACGAACCTTCTCCGAAGCCAGGTCGCCTCTGAGAGCCAGGCGTCCGGCGTCGCTTAAGGAAATAGTCTGTCCGGTCTCCAAGGCACTCGTGACAATACTGCCATCATCCTGTAACGCGCTATCGTGCATGCTGATGCCCTGCGCCTGAAGAAACTGGAGGGCATCCTCACTGACATGAGCATTCCCCGCGGCTTCCTCCAAGGCGTCGAGGGCGCTCAACGTTGCATCTCTGCTGCGACTCGATCCGGTCTGCTTATGCTGAGGGAGACAGAGAGGTATAGGAAACGTCCGCTATCCGGACCATACAAGTCTTATCGAGACTTCAAAGATCTAAGGTGGGGTATCTTGAGAAATTTCGAGGGAGAAAAACTATACCTCTGTACTTGTTCTGTTCTTCTTCACTGGGAATGTACGCAAAACCTTAGGTCCAACGGTGATGGTGACCGGGGCTTCTCTGGACGCGGAGCTAGTCGAGTGGGGCGGGGAGTATATTGATGCGACGGCGTTATTTATCGCGGCAGGACTGACGAGTGATTCTTGCAAAAGTTCAACAATTTCTTGTCTCTCGTTCTGCATAGCGATGTCCATCGGAGACAGATCGAATTTTGATGTGATGTCCAAAGAGGCTCCGCATTGTAGTAAGGTCCTTATCACCTGTGGAATGACGAGTTCCCTCACTCAAGGCGCGTGGTCCCCTCGAATCCTGTTGTCGTCGGAAAGGGCAGCCGGGCAAAGAGCCCCGCTGCTTCTGAATCTCAAAACCTACGACTCACCTCGATGTGGCCCTTCTCCACCGCCCAATGCAGAGGGGTCATGCTCAACATGTCTCGAGCCTCGATGAGAGCTCCGTATTTTATCAAAAGTAAGACGACGTCGTTGTGACCCTGGTACGCGGCCAGGTGTAAGGCTGTCTTGTCCACCTTCGTCCTCGCGTCCCTAATACAGCCGGCTCTCAACAGGATCTTGAATGAGCGAGAGGAATAAGAAGTGTGTCAAAGAGGAAACTGGAAATCCGCAGCGTTGCAGCCCGGGTCATGACCGGCTGGAATCCCTCGGGCCCGAGCTCATTGGCTACCTGTTCGCAGACGTCGCCTACCTCACAAGTTTCGACATGCCCGCTGGCCGCTGCCATGTGGAGGGGTGAAGTTCCGAGCCAATCCACGATGAAGGGGGCTCCGTTGGCCATGAGCTGGCGTACTTCATCAGTTTCACCTTTGACAAATACATGCGCGATTAAATAACGATTGAATTCCTCACGCGGAATAGTTATGCGTCGTCTCTTCGGTATTGGTCGTATCATCAGTCCCGGGAATGATGTTCATGGGAGCAACATCTGTCACGGGAAGTGTCTTTCCCCATCCAGTGCTTCATCATTCATTACCTTTCCGAGCTTTATCGAGGAGCTGCTTGCCGAGATCATACATCGCCTGCGTGAAGGCCTTGCTTGACCCGGCCGCTCGAACCTCAGCCTCCATACCGTCCGGCCTCGATTTCCCTTACTGTAAAGAAAAAGAAGCGGTCCTTCATACCGGGATCGATGGCTTAACGGGGTGGATATCAATTCAGATTCCAATAGGCTCACACCGTAGCAGGTGTTTGTGATTGTATCTCCACCAGAACTCCTGCCTTGGAAAGACCTCCGGCACTTGGAAGTCCCCCAGCTTCTGAGTCGTCATAGAGACTCACACGGAAGAGTTCCAGAATAGACCGCTCTGTCGAGAACATCCTGTCTCTCTTTTCTGACAGGCTGTTCGAATATTCTTCCAAGAACAACTTCTCGTCGGCTATCCGAAGGCGAGCTTCGAGATTTCCACCGATGGTCTCAGACAAGCAACCAGTCAGAACGACGAGGTACTCACTTCACAAAAGCGACACGCCCAAACGCACAGCGAGTTTTCGCCGTCGTCCCAGACCTGATATTTGGTTCTATTTGCCGCGGTTCTTCAACGAAAGCTCTCGATTTCCGTTCCAGAACAGGATATGGCGATGATCTTTGGATGCGTTTTCAAAACAAACATGGCGGCCGCGCGCTAATTTTGAGCGCGCTCTGCCTTCATCGAAGAGCCGAAGCAGTGAGCCGTAGGTGTCGTATCTTGAGCAATCCCGCAGTTTCAGCGAGTTTGCTCGAGTCTGCTGTGAGAATGGTCGAGCGTTCTACTCGCTCTACGCTAATGGAAATGGAACTTGAATTTAACGTTTTGCTGCGAGATGGGGCACTCCCACGCCGGAGAGGATCAAACCACGGAACGCACACTTCGTAGGCTAGGTCCTATTTGGACGACCCGCTCTTGTGGAGATTCCAGGGAGAAAGAGACCACTGTCAGTGTTACTATCACTGATGTCGAGCGTTCCGAACACACCTCCTGTGTGAAACTCCTGTGGCAACCAACCTCATTGTGATTTTCTCCCCGAGAGAGAGTCCACGCTTTCGCGCAGTCTGTCTCAATATCAGTGAGTGTCTTCGGGGAGGGCCTCAGATCGACGACTCGAAAGGATCAAGAACTCGTCTCGTCGAGAGAAAAGGTAGACTCGGTGTGGTTCTTGTAATCGAAACGGTGTTTTCGGAATGCAGTCGAAGGAGGAAAATAGTGATAGTGTGAAGTGCGCTCCTTTCCGGGTGCAATCGATTGCGTCCAATCGCTCCCGTCGCCCACAGCTCGGAGAGTGTCGACCTTCGCCGGGGGAACCCGATACCTTGCTTCCGAGAGGACGGAGCTTTCGAGCGTCGAAAGAAAGAGACGGAGCCGTTGTTGTATGAATCTCGGATCCTTTACTCGACGACTGAAGATCTACTCTATATATATAGTATATATCATACATGATATTATGTATACGTTCATACATATATGTATATAGCTATATATAATTAGAAACTCTCATCCTACTCTTCTATTTCGTTGACGTATCATAAAATAGAGTCAATTGATTGTTCCTTTTAAGGAAGCGGACGTCACCTCTCAGTCAAGTTGCTCCTCGATAATTTACCATTCGAAATTCGCGTTCATGCGGATCCACAATTTCCTCCTTTTAGGCTAGGCTTTCCCAATCAACAGATTCATCCGGATGTTCGATTGATTGATTGATCGCTTTCTGGATCGACAAATTCCTTGATTGATATGAGCTTCCGATCGTTCTCAGGACGGGGGTAAAGCTACTCAGATACTGCGTCAATCTTTCCCGCGTTCCGAATTCCTCCTTTCAGACCGAAAAGACGTTCCGGGATTAGTACAGGAATGCAGAGATATCACTGTTGTGACCTGGGGGTCCCCTCTCACAATAATTCCTTCAACCAGCAGGCCGTGAAACCAGGAATTCTCGCCCGGAGCGAGCGAACTTGGGCCAGGCTACAGGGAAGCCGGGTGGTGGGGCAGTCGACGTTCCGTCTCAATGTACCTAGCGAGTACCCTAGGGACATCAGCCGAAGCGCAACGCCTCGATCCTTCGGTTGCTACTGAATGATCGCCTCGACGCCATCTGTTTCTCGAAACTCTTCCACAAGCGATCACTATGTATCTACTGGATGAGATATACATCAAGGATGACTATTGTACACAAGGCTGGCAGTCCGTCGCCTGTGAATTTTTGGCATTTCTCGCTCGTCGATGCGACACCGAGTGTCACAATTCTAGAACAGGAGATCCGAGCTCCCGACCTGCGAGTAGGTCGAGGTCTCGTCTTGCGAAGCGGGTCGAAACTCGTCCTCGGCAGCCTCGCTCTGAAGCTCAGCGGGCTGCGATGTCGACTCGCTTGTCAGCAGTTGCTCCCGCCGCAGTCGCGAAACACCTAGCTGGAAGTCGTCTTCGTCCAGAGCATTTGGTTTGTAATTCCCTGGAGGAGAGTGAAGAGAAAAAGTTTTAAAATTGAATCGACAGAGAGAACGTTTTGGGAAAGCGTCGGGAATCACTCCTCGCCGAGAGAAGTCTCAGTGTGTTTTCTCGAATGATGATCCACTTGCTCCAACACCGCGCGGGCATCATTTCGACTGACTAGATTGAGCTGGAGCTCTCGATTTCGATTTTTCGTATATTCTTATTGGAGCCGCCTCTTGATCTCATTATTCCGATCTCCCTCGCTCAGTCTGCGTATTCGTTGCTGGGGAGTTCTGGGAATCTGGCGCAGTCAACTCCGCCACGGCCTTAATGCGCCGCTGATCCCGTTGCAAGGTCGCGCTAGTTGTTTGACCGGTACAGCGCCGCTAAGCCCTATATATTTTTTTCTGTTCTTGCCGATAACGATTCTCGATCCGAAACGCGAGACATGCGGGCTCGGGACGGAATCGACGTGATTTCTTTCGTGCTTTCGGTACCGATATCACCTTCGATTAGATATTATATATTCCCTTGACGACGGGTTACAATCGTGAACTTCAAATACTAACCAAGGGCTGCACTCGGTAGACCTTTGGCTCCGATATCGTCGTCTTCCGGTTCCGTGTCGTCATCTTCGGCTTCGTACTCGAACATCGACGAGAGGTTGTCATCGTCGAATCGTATCGAGAGATTCTTGTTTCTGGTTGAGATCAACGATCCACGGCCAATGACGACATTTTCGCCAATGAAAGTTATACCTGTCGAGCCGCACATGGGACATGTTAGCCTTCTAATGAATCACTCATGGCACCGGAAACTAATCTGCGTTTCCCTGTCGCGGGAAACGGTCCGACGTGACTCAGCGGAGGGCTCCTATGTTTCGCCCAGCGTTTTTTTCTCACGTCGGGTTGCACACGACCGGAACGATGAAATTCATCTTAGAATGGGGCGGAGGGACCGAGAATTTCCCATCTCCGATGAGAGGAGACAATGGGCAAGGTTTTCGACGCGCTCTCGATATTCTTCCGCGGAGTCCAATCTTCGGGATATGGAACGGATCGGGACTTACCACTCGGCTCTTGACCGTCCTCCGAAGGTCCGTCGAGCTCTTCGCGAGAGATCCTTATCGGTGACGGCATGACTGCCACCTGGGGCTTGACGTCTTTCCCTCGGAAATCGAAAACCATCGAGCTCCCCATCGACGTCGCCGAGGATACTGGTTGAGGTCTCGAGTTGCTCTCACTGAGCAGCAGGGGACAAGCTCGGGGCTTGACCACGACGGAAGTGGTGCGCGGTGCGATCGGGGTGGAAACTTTGGTATCCACTGCGCATCCGATACCTGCGGTAGCCATACCATAACGTCAGAACAATTCGCACACAATCACATCTCGACTCGGTAGAACTCGCTCGCTCGCTAACAGTAAGGTGCGCGTGAAAAGTGTGGCTCGCTGCTGCTGCGAAAAATCACATCCAGAAACGCTAGCAAGTGCGAGCTGAACGTTCCTTGGTTCCTTATGATCCGCACCAGAAGCCGTCAGATAGGCAGGCGAGCGAGAGAGACGGCGGTTCGGCTCGCTGATTTACTGTAGAGAGAGTAGCAGACTGACGGAGGATTGTTCCGATACATTCGGTGTCGAAAAAATCTCAGACCGCGGTCTGAAAGGTTCCGCGCACCCTGTCATGAAGTAGTCGCCGGTCACGAGTCACGACTGCATATTTCCGTGTTGAGAGCTTGGGGCTTCTCCAAAAACTCGGATGATGATGGATAAAAACTACCGGTCGGCTCTGAGCCCTGGTGACGAGCACAGTGTTTCCGCAATCCTCGGTAAATGAATATTAGATCGACGACGTTTCGAATCTGTCGAAGGAGAAATGGTCTGACGACCTCAACGAAGCCCCGTCGGATGAGCACTCTTCGAAAGAAAAAATGAAAACCGGATCCTGAAGAATCCGGCGCAACTTTCTCGAGAATCCCCCGGTTCACCCGAGCTCGAGTCCACTGCCCGGGTCATTCATTATGAAGCCGAACGAAATCGTGGATTGGAGCATCACGACATCGCTCATTGCTGGAATTTGCTCTTAATTGTTCTGTAAGAAGGTCGGCGCTAAACGGTGCCTCACGGTGATGATGAACGAGTAACAATAAGTCTTTGTCGAAGAAGGGTTACATAAAGTATTCTGCTTTTCGTGGCTACTCGAAAACGCTGCCGGTCGGTTTATGTACACATATGATGATGTTTTCCAAATGAGCCGACCGAATCCGTGTAGAAGCAGCCCGACCACCGTCCGGTCGACCCAACGACCGACAGACCGACCGTCTCCCTTCATGCGCACTTTACTCTTGGTTGACACTTTCACTACAATCATCATCACATTACGCGATCCCGTCCGGAACGAGCATTCCGTAAAGTGACACGCAATTACTGACCGGAGCTTCCACAAAGAAACATTTTATCTCTCTCTTAACGCAGTTATGAGTTTGCACGGCTAAGATCGTCGTCGCCAGCGACATTATGACGTCACTCGAAACGCAACTATTCCTCGTGAGACACCACACTTGGCGAGAGAGTCACGGATTCCTGACGCCGACTCGTTTTAATCCGAGCGTCCGGTGGCCTTTGAATTCACGGAAACAGGCTTTCAATTCGAAGAGAAGACCCAAAAGTGTACGAGACGATCTTCGTCATCTTCATCTCGCCCGAGCGGGCTCGGACGCTCCGTACCGCGATTACGGAAGGAAAACATCGATCCGGGAAACGGAAGATACTTACTCATAATGTCTTGGTAGCCATTCGATTGCAGATTGATCTCGTTCAGGACGGCGTCTTGGACGGCTTGCGTAGTTACTTCTTTCGTCTTGCTCAAGGGAGGACTGTCTCGTCGCTCGGGTTCCGGTTCTTTGAGAAGAGGTTTGATATTGGCTACCGGCTTCTTCACAGGGGACGTTTTGGTTTTCAGAATCCCAGTGGGCTAGGCGGGAAAAGAAGAAGATAAGGTATTATTCATCTTAATTCATTTATTCCATGGCGGGATCGATATCCCTGCATTTTTAGGTGTTCCTGAGGTTTCAATCACAATTCGATGCTCTCTCTCTATACGAATCCAGGACAAGGCGTCTCTGAGGACGACTCCTACTCACCTTGGTAGGGGGCGAAACCGAGCTGCTCTGATGCTGGGGTGAAGAGCTCTGCTCGAAAAAGGTTTTGTACTTGCGCACCGTATCTCTACGAGGAAGTTCGCTTTCGACGACCGAACTTATCGAAGAGCTCACAACACATCGAATCGTGGGCGGACCTAGAGCGGAGAAAGTCACCCGTCAGATCGTCATGGCTTACGCATTCGTCACTATTTCAGATATCTCCACGTGGTTTCGGATGCCGGTATCGAGTATCCAGTCCACATTCCATAGAAATCGCCCAATATTTCCGTTTATCTACGATGGCCGCGGCGAAAGGATAGAAGCTCCGGGCTCGGACAGAGAAGATCGCCAGGGAAAATCGAAGTGAAGGTCGGACTGGGTCCTTCCCGCTCATGTTGGTGGGCGAGTGGAATGGAGTAACTCCGGAGCACTCCGCGATTCTCGGATCCCGCATCGGGAGCTCACCGTGATTGCGCGTTGAGTCGAGGAGTATTTCCATGGACGGACTCTTTGGGACGAACTTCTTTGGATCTCTCATGTTCGCTGGGGATGTCATGAGCAGCTTGTGTGTCGTATTGACTGGATTTGCTTTGTACGGAGCGTTATTATCTTGAAGATTTTCTAGTGAGGTGCATGTTCGCATATTGCTTCGTTTCGTTGCGGCCGAGAGAACGGCAGCTCCGGCTTGAGCCTGGTTCAGCGAAAGATTGATGAATTTTGACTTGAGTCTGGAAAAAAGCGTCCGCTGAGAGTCACTTCCTCCATGCAGACAACTCGTGAGCGACCGGAGGAGTTCATGAGAGATCGCTGACTCGATGTCCGAATCGCTAGGCTCGGAAAAGCGGAGGAGAACTCACCTGTCGACGATGCCTGGACCGTAGGCCCAGTAGTCCTGTTCATTTGTGATTGAGGCTACATCTTGTGAGGAATGAGAATTCCTCATTCTCGCGATACCGATGCCGCCCATTCCGACCCCGGAGACTACGTTTGTGGCTCTGTGACTCATGACTGGACTCTGTTCCTCTCCCATCATCTCCAAACAACTGAAAGAAACAAATAGGAATTGGATGTAGCACGAAATAAATATTACGGCACCTTCATGCGGGCCAACGGACTCAAACTCGAATTATTTGAATCACCTATCGGAACTAGGCAATCGTATCACTATTATTCGATGGAGCGACGACTCGAATATCTCTGTTGATGTATGAGCTCCCTATTAATTTTCCCTCGTTCCCGGATTTATGGTCCCCGCTCGCCTTCTCTCCCGTCGTTGGGTGACCGGCCTTTTCTCCCAGCCGTTGACCGGCATCGCAGATCTCGCGATGTCATTTTCGTCGCAAGAAGTTCTCGACTCCGAATTGGCGGGAAAGCATGCGACAACTTTCGCCGGAACCCGTTCAGGAAGAGCGTGAAAATAATTTCACTGAGTCAGTGTTTGTTGGAAACAGCTGATCCGCTCGCCGGGTTTTCGACTGGCATTGTGTGAGCCCTTAGTCCGAGTCATACCGAATTCGCGGTGTCAACTTGGCGTCTAGCCCGTCTCCCAGCGGATCGGGTAGCGAACTCTCATCGTTATCCAAGAACATTACGTCGTCGTCGTCATCATCACCATCCAGCTCTCACCGACAACGGGAGTGTCAGCCCTGTCGTTTCCGCAATCCACTTGACACCAACATCGGATCCATAAGCCACTCACTCACTCGGCTGTCATTATAAGACGATTCGCTCCCTCCGGAATGATGTGCAGTAAACTGCTCAACTCTCGCTCGATTGAGAGTTTCAGTAAGAAAAGAACACACGATCCTTATCCCACGTTTTTTTATCCTCGCCCTTGCCAAGAGCCGAGACCTGGCCACATCGATCGATGGGCTATCGGAGGATGGGTTCTACGGGACACTGACGATGCCGTTCGTGGTCACGGATTAACAATAATTCGGCCGTCCGCTCGCTCCCGAGTACGCCCGACGAATTCAGGTCTTTCGGACAGAGTGCGCCCGAGCGAATCCAGGTCTTTCGGACAGAAACCGTTCCATTGTAGATCCACTGAGTCCATCCGCCGCGCCGCCCCTAAGTGACCAGCCGTCGTCCTCGTGTCCGTCCACCTTCGCCAGCATGCTTCCGACTAACGGACGGACAGGCAGACAGAGCGACCGACCGGGCGTCGCTTCTCGCTAACGAAGAAGCCAACGACCCCTGATTCAGACGGGATGGATCTCACCACGGAAACTGCGTTCTGTTCCCAGGCAACTTCCCAAGCTATCTTATGTAATAAGTCCCAACGAGATGAGTCAGTGTGGCTATCCGTCGAAGAACCAACGTGGCGGCCGGCTCTCACCCAGCTTACTTTCTTCTCGTTGCAGCTTTTCCTATATACCGTGTGCGGTTTGCGCTTCCCCATTATCAGGCTTGGATTCGAATTGAAGTTTGCGGAATCCCCCAGACGCGAAAGATAAGCGACTCAGCGAGATTAAACACATCCGGAGTCACCTGCCGATCAATCTTTTCCGGAGAAATGATCTTCGGAGTTACCTCACCCAACGGTCGTGGCTTTGCATTCATCCATTATTCCCCGGCCGTATCCAATGCGACCGTACAGTGACTCTCTTCGCGGATGGAATCCGCAGAAGCTGGGCGCGCATCCAGACTTCTAGCAGCTTCCTGCGGATCGCAAGCATGCCGCAAATAGCGGTCAAGCTGCTTGCGAAGGCGCACACGCGAGCTCACGCCGACGAGCTGGCGAGCACTCGATGATTACGACGGTGATGATCTTGCTACCAGTGTCAGACAGGGGAAAACAATGGCCGCATGCTAGCTCGTTGACTAAATGTCTCAAGGGCACTTGGATGAACATGTTGTTCCCGGGAATAATTCTTTTCTTCTTTTCATCATCTGCCGCTTGGATCGGTTCTGTACTTCCTTTCTCAGACTGGAATGGCTGTAGAGCTTCGAAGGAGAACGACCCGCGAATCCAAAGAAAGTCCCCAACGAAGTGTGAATTTTCTCTGCGCGAGCGCGTGCTCTGATTCTTCCATCAAATGCCATTCGATATTCGTAGGGAGCAATCCGGCAAAATGAGCCGGACGGAAGCCACCCGATTCTCTCCCCTACTTCTCTTCTCCCAACTCCCCTCCAGCGTCACCGCGAGAGCCTCAAACTGCGATAGGAATCAACTCTGGTTCCCATTCCAAGACTTAGACCGTGGGGTTTCCAAAAAGAGACCTCAGTCGCTCCCTACTCGGATAGACAAAACCCCAGGAGGTTTTGAGATCTCCTGTAGCATGTAAACTATTATGAGATTCAAACCTGCGACCCCGCGCAAGAATGAGTAAACAAGGTAATCGCGGATCTGTACGGGATGTCGCTTTGACTAATCCATTGTCCATCGTTCCACCGGAACGCAGGTATTTGATGTTCTTCTGCATGATAGATGACCTCTGCCGGTGCTCCGTCTCGGCTCGAGTCGATCAGGGATCACACCGATCGAACCCAGGTCGGAGCCTGCATGAAGACACCGATGACCTCAACACTGATCGCTGGTCAACTAGTCCTTCCGAGGGGCTAAACGCTCATAAAGGTCTCTGGAGTCACCGAAGCTGCCATCGTCCCGGCTGCCGCTCCGGTTTGCGTAACCAATCACAGAACATCAGTTGATCAAGGTTATTACAGGCACAAATTGGCGCCCATTTATTGCATGTTGATATGATGCTCGTAGTCGTCACCCGTGTCGCTTTCGACAACGGAACACGGTCGATGATGCGTCGGCTCCAACAACAGCTTAACGGCTGATGTCGTTCATCAGGGCCATTTTCTCTTCGACCACTCTGTCGCAGTCGTTGCGTTGTACGATTGGACGAGATATGTAGATGACCAACCCCATGAGCCGCTAAGCTGGCGGGCGACGCAGCAACTGACGATTGTATAAATGGATGGATGGCTTTAGGATCGTTTACACGGTATTTGCGCGCAAAGCAATCACGCTAGGCTAAGACGACAAGACAATGTCCCGGCGTTACGTAAGACCCTCCTCTGTTGGCCGCGCCGGCTCGGATCGAATCCGCGACGTAAGGGATTAACGTTCCGGTGGGAATGCCGTGTAAACCACGGAAAAGATAACATGATCAAAAAGAGGAGAAGCACATTTCGACGCGGAGTGTCGGACTTGTGCGGGATATTCGGGCGAAGAAAGAGACGATTCCATTATTCGTTGGTCATTTTCCGAAAGCTCGGTCCAAAATATGGCTCGAACTCGCGGGATGAATGGCTTCACGCTTTTCTAGAGGCTCTCGTTCGACATTTCCATTCCGTATTGAAGTCCCCCTCCCCTCCCCGCCGTCTTGAGATACAAGAAGAGTATCCAGAACATCCGAGGTCAAACTCTGTTCTTGTGACGTCATGACAATCTGCCTGACTGGCTGTTCGGCCATGCTCACGGTACCAACAGGTGCTCCTTCGTTAGAACAAGCCCGAAAGACGTCAAACTGATCGTGAGGAATCGCAGAATCCCCGGAACGGACTCGCCCGACTTTTGCCGTCAAAACGGAAACTTGGAAACGATTTTCGGAGCTTACGACTATCGTTGACGTTCCAAAGTACCGATATGCGCATCATTGGATGCTCCCATCGATGGATGGATTGATGCTTCGATGAATGGGAAACGGAACCCCAGAAGCTTCGCGCAGAAGTCGACGGTGGAAACCACCGATCCGGCCTCCGGTTAGTCAGCCAGTCAAGCGGATGAGCGATAGCGAGCTTTGAATGAATTCTTCATCAGGGTCTGATTACGGCGGCGACGCGTCGGCTGTTCCGCTTTTTTAGCTTTTGCCCCATTTCCTTCGATTTGATTTAGTCGGGCCGGAGCTGCAGCTCGCTTGCTTGTCTGCTTGCCGGCAAGTCAGCCCGCCCGCCTGCTCGCCCGGTTCGATGCGAATCACCCAAGTGCCCGGATCTGCGCCCTGAATCGAGGCGTTGGATCATCTGATTGAATCAGAGTCAACATTCTGTGCGTTCGACGCGCCGGACGAAGTCATTCGTCCGCAAAGCAAGCCCAGCAGTAGCCCGATAGAAAGTTCCGTACATCGTTTCTCTTCGTTGCGGAGAATCCAACCGATGATTACTCCGGTGGTTCCACAAACAAACTGGTCCACAGAACCCATGATCGAATGTTGATACGTCGAATCTAACTGACTGAGACTTTGTTCGTGATTTCCTCGTATCTGTCAGAGAAAATTCCAGCGAGCTGAGGGCGACTCCTGATTCACCCTTTTCAGAGAAAACATACACGGTAGGATAGAAGAGAGGCATGAATATAGCGCTCGAGATATAGACAAGAATTTCATATAACGGTACAGCGAAATCCCTCTCCGGAGAGATATCTCGTCTCCAACCGCTTGCCGTTTTTCATCGAGTCGGTGCTTGGAACATTCGGTGGCCGATTTCTGCGTTTTTGCCTAAACTTCCATTTTTCAGCAGATATTATCTTCATTTTTCTGCGAGAGTCGCGGTTTTCTGACCGTAACATCTTTCTGGTGGGCCGTATTCATATTCACTAATTGACTACTTTTGTTCTTTGGCGCAATGGTTCATGGATGGGTAATTCCCATCTTCGCTCGGAAGAGCATGAGCATCGGGAAAAGGAAGGCTATTCAAATCCAGAGTCGGAACGGAAAATGCATCATTCAATATGCGATGAGCGAAACAATAGAAACTCCGATTCCACAAATCTCGAGGAAGGCGGAATCCTGTTTCCGAGGAGTCCGGGAGCACCGGAGAGGTAGGCGAGTTTCCGGGCGAGATCATTCCTCGCTCAGATCGAAAGGATTTTCAGGATATGACCCCGTCAGGGGAGAGAAGCGTCAACGAAGTGCACCAGATTCGAACCAGAGTCCTAGAAGCCGGACAGTGCTTCTCCGGAGACTTTCATCCTCAATTCGAGATCATCCATTGTCTCTCGAACCTGCACAGGAGCCAATTCGGGGACCCGCTGTTTCCTCCATCGAAAAAATGTGCCACCGAATATCTCGGCGTTAACCAGAGCTTAGCC